AGGTATAATATCACAATTTTTGGTTTTAAGTTAAAAAACTTAAATTGTATAGAGCTTGTGTAGGAATTCATAATGTAAATTTCATGTAAATAATTATTTTTGGCTGCTGAAATTTTGTTCTGAATTTGCTGGAAATTGTGTATTATATATTTCAATGCAAGGGTTATTAGAAATATATGGTGGGAAGTAAAAAAAAATTTGTCACAATTTTAAACAGTTATATAAAAAATCATTTAATATTGTTACCAAAACTATTGTATCCTAATATTAAATGGTTATCCGGCAAACTGTTTAATATCACAATATATTAAATAGTTATGTATAAATAACCATTTAATATAGGTATAATATCACAATTTTTGGTTTTAAGTTAAAAAACTTAAATTGTATAGAGCTTGTGTAGGAATTCATAATGTAAATTTCATGTAAATAATTATTTTTGGCTGCTGAAATTTTGTTCTGAATTTGCTGGAAATTGTGTATTATATATTTCAATGCAAGGGTTATTAGAAATATAAGGTGGGTAGTAAAAAAAAAAAAATTAGTCACAATTTTAAACAGTTATATAAAAAATCATTTAATATTGTTACCAAAACTATTGTATCCTAATATTAAATGGTTATCCGGCAAACTGTTTAATATAACAATATATTAAATAGTTATGTATAAATAACCATTTAATATAATGATATATAAACGGTTATATCATTGAAACTGTTTAATATTTTTCTACATCTAGTAAACTGATATATTCATCAAACATATACTAGACGGTTTATTTAGAAGTGTTTAATATTTAAAATGTATTCAACGGTTATAAATGATTAAATATATTTCTTAAAATATTCAGTACCTTTTTATTCAACGGTTCATAACCATTTTATATTTAATATTTTGTAATAGTGATGAGTAGAGATGTATTGGAAAATAAATTTATTGCGTGCTTCCACAATTTCCAGCATGAAAGGCCCTATATATATTGAATTTATGTGATTTAAGAGCTTATTATGAATAATTCACAACTAGGCTTTGTAATTTACATGTACACTGCCAAATAATTTATAGGTTATATGCATTGTTTCTTTTCCACCAAATTAAAGACATTTTATGTACAGTGAAAAATCCCAACTAAGAAATATGGTTCTTTAATGTAATTTCTCAAACGGGAAGTTTTTTAGTGGGAATATGTTTCCAACGAAGTAGTCCTTGCATATGATTTCCTTTGAACAAATATGAAATGATTTAGACAAAAGTAAATATATTTTAGATAATCAATCTCAAATCTTGTACAAAGAATCTTATATCCTGAAGTTATCAGTTGTTCCTAGATAGTTGTTAATTATTATTATTATTTAATTGTTAACTAAATAATTTTATTAATAGTTATCCAATAGTAATTGACAATTTTAATATATATATATATATATATAGAGAGAGAGAGAGAGAGAGAGAGTAAATTGACAACCTTTGCAAAGTGTGCTAGACTTTAGAATAATTTTATGATGAGAAAACTTATATCCTTAATTTTATATATTTAATATATTTTTTAATTAAATTAAGATATATGTATCTTTTATAGGTTATTTAATTTCTAACAAATTCTTGTTATTATTATTATTAACATATTAAAATTTACAATTGGACAAATTAGCCCACTAGCTAAAAAAAATCTTGTACCTAAAAAATGGACCAATTTTTTGAAAATTTAGAAGCATGGCTAGTTTACATTGAGATAAAAAAATATTTATTATTGATATATAATAGGTTTATCATTAAAAATATAAAAATTTACAGGATATTTATTATTGATATGCAATGATAGATCATTAAAAAATATAATAAATTAATTATAATGTAAAATATAATAAATGTTAAGTTGTTTGTTTGGTTTTATTCTATAATATGAATTATATCTGCAAAAACACCTTTACAATTCTTTATTTGATTGAGTAAAAGTATATTAAATATATAAAATTAAGTATATAAATCTTGTTGTGGACTGATTTCATGGTACTCTTGAATAGGCTTAAAAGTAATCTTTCTAAAGAAAACATAAATTTTGATTTTTATAGTTTGTTCACATTTTATTGTTAATTTTTGCATATTTTTTTATATTTTAAATCTCTACAGTTTTATTTTTTATTATTTTAAGTTTCTTCATAAATAAAATATAAGAATCTTGGAAGAATTTAAAATAATAAAAAATAAAAATATAACAACTTAAAATATATAAAAAGTGTAAGGATAAAAAATAAAACGTAATGTTAATGTTATATTTTTCTTAATAAATAACTAAAGATGGAATAATCATTAGTAATACTGATAATGATAATGAAGCCCTGCGCCGCCGCCGCCGCCGCCGCCGCCTAAAAGACCCCAAATTTGTTGATGGTTTCCTTTCGTGGCCTGCAATATAATACTTGGAGATTGCAAAATTCAGATCATCTAAATTTAATTTCGATGGTTCACATTACAAATAAATGACCTTTTTCATAATTTATTCATCAAATTTTGTTTGATTGATCAAACTTCTCATAATTTGCACATACCTGGTTTGATGGGTACACTTAACTAGAAGAATTGGGCAAAGGAAATAGTATCACAGTACGGGAGAATTACACCCGCCCGAATGAATTTTATAGCATTTAATTTGGTTAAAATATATTTAGTTATTTAATTTTATATAAAATTTTATTTTGATCCTTTAATTATAAAAAGTTTATTTTTAGTTCTTTAATTTTAATATTGTTAATTTTATCACTGAAAAAAATATTACATTGAACTTTTAAATATTGATAAAATATTATCAAATATTAACTTATTAAATTTAAAATTTTTTTTAAAATAACAATGATCAGTATAAAAACTAATTATTTAAAACTAATGGTGTTAGGATTAAAAGACTAAAAATATACTTTATAAAAGGAAGAATGACAATTAAAGACCTTCTAAGAACATTAATCCCAATTACGGACCATGAAATTTTAAAATCTCAATTAAGGATCATGGTCCTTAATTGTGATAAAAAAATATAGTTTGTGAGGTGAAATTTACTATTGCCAGTTGGGAATTCACTAATCTAACTTGAGAAAATTTATAACGTATATTGTAAAAACATGAAACCTCATTTGAAAGTCAATTATTTAACAAAAAGTACTATTTGAAAATTCACTAACTCGACTTAAAAAAATTTCTAACGTATATTGTGAAAATATGAAACTCCATTTGAGAATCGATTGTTTAATAAAAAATACCAATTTGAATAAATCACTTTTTATTAAACAATTGATTCTCAAGTAGGGTTTTATTTTTTCACAATATATGTTAGAAATTTTTTCAAATTTAGTTAGTGAATTTTCAAGTGACATTTTTTGTTAAACATTTCATTTTCAAATGAGATTTCATGTTTTCACAATATACATTAGTAATTTTTCAAGTTGGGTTAGTAAATTTTTAAGTCGCGTTAGTGAATTCCACCTCACAAATTATATTTTTTTAATCACAATTAAGGACCATGATCTTTAATTGAGATTTTAAAATTTCACAATCCGTAATTGAGATTAATGTTTTTAGAAGGTTCTTAATTGTCATTTTTCCTTTATAAAAGTAAGGAATTAAAATAAAATTTTATATAAAGTTAAAAGATTAAAAATATATTTAAGCCTATTTAATTTTATTATAAGGAGAAAAACGTAACTTTCACTAATATTAACCACTGTGCAGGTACAATATTGCGTCCAGGCCGACCTGCCTCCATTTCTATTCTTAACCACACAATTTCAAAGGATAATTTATCTGTAATCTCTCCACCGTCCATTGTCAAAAGTTGAGGGTTAATTAATTAATTAATTTGCTAATGGTGATGTCAGATTAAAATAAGCAAAAAATCTTTTTCTTGTTGGCACATTAATATTAGACAAAGTCTTATTTTATTTATTTATTTGCAATAAAACAAACCCTAACATGTGATTAGGATTGGGTTGATTGAAGATGAGTTCAATGTTAATCATAATTATACTTATCACCCATATAAAATATAAAATTTATATTAAAATTAATACATAATACAACCTTTTTTAGATTCCTTGCAAAAAAGCATGTCCAATTGCTACATATTTAAAATAATTGATAAATGAAAATAAAAAATAATTATTTTATCCTCATAGTTTGGATTCAATTAAAATTAAATCATTAAATTTTAACTTGATGCAACTCAATATTTATTATTTTAACTCAGTTGAAATTCAAGTATTAAATTTTGAGTTGATGCAATTTAATTTTTATAATTTTGAACCCTTCAAAATGTTCGTTACTGTAAAAATAAAATTATAAAAAATAAATTTATTTCTTTAAACTTAGGGACCAATATTTTATATAGTTATAAGGATTGAATTTTAATTGAATCAAAGTTATATGAATAAAGTTGCACCAAGTTAAAGTTCATAAATTGAATTACAATTGAATTGAAATTATAAAAATTAAATGATTAATTTTTCAATAAAAAATACTATTTTTTATAAATAATTATATATAAATATTTAAATTTAGTTTTTAAACTATGCATCTTTTTGATTAAGTTAAAATAGGATAGTAAAAAGGTCAGGTTCAAGTAAAACGGACAATGCGATTCTTATTCTTTTTTTTTTATATTTATAATCTGCTATTCTTCTTATTCTTATGAAGATAGAGGTCAAATTTTATTAGAAAAGAATCATATTTGAAAAAAAAAAAGTTACATGGAGTTAATCAGTTAAATTGACAATATTTGACAAATAGTTGTGTAAAATAAAAACACGCTAAATAAGATTTAAAACTCTTGAATCTATAATTATTTACTTTAAAATTATTTTTTTAAAAAAATGTATTATAGACCTAACTTGTATTATTATTATTATTATTATTATTATTTTGGATATAAATGTCATTCTGCGAAATATTAGTCACTTTTATCATTGGGCCACGTAATTGCGGTTATAAATACGTGTGAAGCGACTTTGGCATTTCTTGTTTCAAAATTTCCGATTAGAATGTTGGAGCTCTTCGTATTGGGTTGTACTGGAATCGTCGTCTTCCTTCACGGCGCCAATTTCTTCTTCCACCTCCTCTCCCACTCCTTTCCTCTTCGATCTCTCAGGTTCAACCAATAATCTTAATCTCTGAATCGTTATTTCTGATATTTCAACTGATCATCTCTGTTTTGTTTTCTTCGATTCGATCGATTTTAATCTCCAGATTCACTACTTGTCGCTTAAAATCGATCGATTCAGAAATATACATGTACTGATAGTCGTTTTCAAATCGATTTTCCCTTCAGATCAATGTTTTTCTCCGCTCCTAATGTTCCTCTGGAAAATTTATTTGGTTTTTTGATGTGATTTTGATTTTTCATTCAATCTATTTGGTTCTGAGCGTCAAATCATGGTTTCTTGCAGCTTCTTGGGTTTCGTCGGGTGATCGATCGCTTCTTGAAGAAAACAAGAAATCACAGAAAATGGTTGAATCTGGAAGCAAAATTCATTCAGATCATAGGCTCTCCTGTTGTTAGTTGTGGCTGCTTGCGCGGAGCTTCACTATTTCTGTGAATATCTGATCGTACTGTGTAAATTTGTAAATATGACTACGATGAACGATAACAAGGCAAGTAAACTCCTGTAATAGCTAGACTCGTTGTTTTTGATTTTTATTTTTTTGGTTAGATTATATTTCATGCGGCTCTTCAATTGAAGGATTGGACTGTACATGGGTTTTTTTGATTGTTAGTTTACATAGATTAAATATGCCGGCTTACTTGATACGAGAAAGTCACGAAAAGGACAAGAAACGTGTTTTATTTTTTATTCATTAGTATCAATAAATAAAAATAATAACACTAGAGTTTCAAAATAGAAAATTTATGATGGTTAATTTTTCAATAAAATTTCTTGCAAAATAAGTTATAAATATTTATTCAGAAATACAGGTTAAACTTGACGGATTACTCATTTAAACATTTTTATAAAGCTTAATACTTGAAAAATCAGAAAGTTTTAATATAACCTTACTTCTAAGCCCAGCTTTATTAGAGTTTAGACTTTATAAAAATAAGTTTGAGCTAGAGCAGCTTTTCAAGCTCTTATTTTTTTCTTAGAAAAAAAATGAATGCTATGTAATTTATTTTCAAGGTTAGTTTATAAAACAAAATAAGGTTTGTGGCTATGTATTTTTAGTGAATTTGTTATTTAAAATGTTTTTGTGATAGTGTGATACTGTGAAACAATTATTAATTTTTTTCATTTATTCCATTTTTTGTATATTTTAATTAATTTTTAATGTTATATTATTGCACTTGATTTTTTTTTTAATAAAAAGGGTTATAGGCATGGCCTTGAAACCTTTTAATAAGGTCATGGATTTATGGGCTTGAGTTTATAAAGATCGAATCCTATAAAAATCATGTCTATATGAGTTAGGCTCACTTGTTTTCTAACTTTATCAGAAAAGAAGAATTTCAATTACGAATTGAGAGTTATAGATAAAATTTAAATTTAAATTTAACTATTTATTTGTAATTAAAACTTCTGGTTTGGACTTTTTTTAATTTGTAATTATTTAAATCAATGTTTACAGCAAATTTTACAAAAAAAAAAATTGTTAGATATATATTTGGCATAAATTTATTATTGGATAAATGAAAAAATTATTTCCTAAACTTTAAATCGACTAACACCTTAGATCTTGAATTTGTTTATTGTGTAAATTATTATCTCAACTTTTAAAAACGGTATAAGCTAGTACTTGTTGTTAATAAAAGTTAATTTTAAATTTTAATTGATCAGAAAATGATAGAAAAGGACTTCAAAATTTATAAAAAAATTATAATAATGGACCCAAAAATTATAGAAAAGGACAAAAAAAAATTTTTTGATCTTTTTTTTAATAATTTTTGATGTCATTTTCTAATCAATTAATAGTTAAAGTTAATTTTTATTTAGAATAAGGGCTAAATTGCACTATTTTTAAAAGTTAAGAGAATAATTTACATAATAAATAAATTCTGAATCTATTTGACTTAAAATTTAGGGATAATTTGCTCATTTATCTTTCATTATTTTACCTTAATTTCATTCTCCAAATAAACTGGGGAGTCTGGATTATGTGTTGTAATTTTTTTTCCTTTAGAGCGAAAACTCCTTTTCATTGGTATAATTTAATTTTCCCCAACTTGTCACTTTTTTCTCTAATTTTTTTAAATGGTTGGTCACATTTTTTCACTAAACTCAGGCATTATAAATCCCAAGTCATTAAGCCCCATGTTATCAATCACCAATCACTCATTGATTATTCACTGAAGTAATTTGTACAGAAATATTATAATTATTTGTTTTATTTTAGTCATTATAAAAAAGTAATCATTGTTTAACTTAAATTAGTTACTAATATAAACTTTTCTATTATAAAGTGGTAGTATTTTAATTATTTTACCAAAAATTATTAATGTTAAAAATCCCTAGAGATTTGAAAAGAATATGAACCCTATTGTCATTTGCATATTTTTTTAAAAAAAAATTTGTCATTTTTCCTAAAATCTTAAACGAGTTTTGATAATACTTTTTCAAAATTAATTAAATGATATTGGAGTATTGAAATTTTTATCTACATTTTTTTACTTTTTTAAATATTTTTATTTTAATAAAAAATAATTTTTCCACCAAAAAAAGAAAAATTAATTTTGACTTGCACCGAGAATTTTGTTGATTCTTTTTTCCATGCCAATTTTTTTTTTAAAAAATTCTCTATAACATCCAATTGCCTTGGCCAATACATGCACACACGCTTAACTACCAATGCATGTTTTGTTTCTGTCACTAATATATATTTGTAAATAAGTTTGGATTTATATATCAAATAAGAAGGATTGCAGCGTGACCCACAGGACTCTTTTATGTATAAAATAATAATTAAATGTATTTATCACCAAGCATTTGGATCAATTGGCAAATGAGATGATCCTACTTAATTAGTGATCTCGAGTTTAAGTCTTAAATGAGATAACATATGACAATTTTCACCTTGTAAATTTTGTTAATTATTAAAGTTCAAGTGTTGTAGATATTACTGGCTATTTTGGTTTGAGTGTTAATTATTTTTCTTTTGGCAATGACAAAAACGAGATAAGTAATTGTGAATACTGTATTTTATCCAAGCATTTTTTTAATTTAATAAAATAATAATAAATAACCAAAAAAATAAAAATATAAAAATAAAATTTAATCCTTTTTAGGATTATATTTTCAAAAAAAATTTAATTTAATTGATAGGGTTTAATTTTATCTTAGATAATCTTTTGTTGGTTAAGATTTTATTTCTTTTAGTTCATTAAAAGAATCAAAAAATTATAAATATAAAAATAAAAATTTAATCCTTTTTTAGGATTATATTTTCAAGAAATAATAATAATTTTAAAAAATTAAAAAAAATCTTGCTTAATTTTTTTAAAATCTCTCTCAAATTATCCCAACCATTCAAAATATTAGAAACTAACTTTTGAGAGTCAACTCTTTTTAAATTTCTTCCTTTAAATTTTATTGTCTTCCAAAAAAAGATATGCTTGTTTAATTCAAGGTCAGATTTTTTTCTCTAATTTTTAAAATTAATAAACATGATTAAAAATAAAAAATAATTATATTTTTTAAAAAAATTAATATATACCGATGGGTTAAATCTTAACCCATTGGTTCCAAAATCTATCCACACGGTCAGATGTAGAAAGAAAAGGAAAACTAGAGTAGCAGACCAGGGAGAAGCAAATGAAGAGAAAGAAAGTAGAAGGAGCACACATGAAATCAGAGTCACAGAGGTAGAGGAGAGGTGGAACAGGCCAGAGATGAGAGAGCTTTCGAAAAACACACAGAAAATGTAGCAAAAGAAGGGGTAAAAGCCCGAAGGAAGAAGAAGCAACCCATGGCGACGCAGTGGAAGAAGGGAAAAAGGACGAAAGAAAGAGATGCACACGATTAGGGGAGAACAGGGACAATGATCCGAGACCAAAGGAGAAATTGGTAAATCATCCTTCCTTCCTACTCTATAATGCCTACAAAAGAGAAATGGAAAGAGGGGACTGAGAGATGAGCTTTTCTTTCTAAAAAAAGAGAAACGGAAAGGGGGAGATGACCAGGAGTCCGAGAGAGAGCGAGTGATTTGGAAATGTTTTTGAGAAAAAAAAGACTGTGAGCAAAGAAGAGGCCGAGAGATGGAAAGATTTTTTGATCAAGAAATTGTTGAAGAAGGGACCAAGGATCTGAGATTTTACTTCTACCTGGGGAGAAAATGTGAGAAGGATTGAGGAAGAAGAGGATTTCTGAAGGGTCGAGGATTGATATCTCCTTACTACAATAGGTTTGAGAATTCATTTTTGTGATTTAAATTCTCGTTCTGCCTCCTAATTCCACTTCATGTTCTACTCCATGAAATTTGATTTGCTGGGTGTTTGTTTTATTCAAAGTTGTAGGGATTGAAAGGCTAAAACAATTTTCTCGAATATTTGCTAAGTTTATTTGTTGTAAGCCTGATGATCCTATTTGGTTAGCCGATTACTCTAGGTTTACATGAATTATGTATGTTCGTGGGGTGTGTTTAAGATGCCAACAAAAAATGTGACACAAGAAAGTAGGCACATCTAGAATTAGTAGATGTATGTTTGCTGAAATCTGGTCCTATATTATGAGTTTGAATATCTGAAATCGCTAGTATATTTGTTTCATTATTTGGCTACCTTGGAAATTTTTAAGAAGTTATAAATCATGCTGCTTTGTTTTTTAACAATCAAAATGTTATATGAAAATATTTAGATAATAAAAGTTTGAAGCTTATGGTTTTAACTTGGATAGGCTTGGCTTTAAATAATAATGTGTGGTTTGAACTCATTCTCCCTACAGGTCAAAGTATGTACTTGTCTTACAACATTTTGGGGCTTTTTTAAAAATTTAGGAATTAGCCTTTATGATTAATCTTAGAAGTTTCACTTTATGCTATTAGCTGTAGTTGCTTATGTTGTTGGTAACTTAAGGAGAATGCATTTTTTAAATTACGCTTGGTTGTTTCTTGAGCCATAATTATAAAGATTGCTAGGCCGTTTAACAATTAAAATTTAAATTTGCATGAATGTGACCATTTGTGTTTAGTAGACATAGCTTCAATTGTCTCTTATAAAATTGGTGGTGTGAAAATCATATGAGTCTCCATAATTGATTAAAATGATTTCATACTGTGTAAATTAGTAAGATTTTGTAGACATAAGGATCAATCTTGTACGTATTTATATGGGTTCTAAAGGCCCATCATTAAAATTAACTCTCTTTTTATAATCTAAATTAATAATTTATTTAAGTCCTATGTGAAATTTTAAGAATCTTCATAAAGACTTAAATTAATTACATCATGGATAATAAGTCCTCGCAAATATAGTGATTTTCAATTTTCATAATAAATAAATTATTTTTGTAAATAATCATATAATACTCAATTTAAAAAAATTAATTAATCAAATTAATGTATTTAAGTTATAATCACATTTATTGATTATATCTTTTAATCATGTGAGATTTTTGAATCTCCGTAGATTTTTAAGCTAATCGTATTATTGTATGAGTCAATAAGACTTTGCAGATATAACGATTAAGTTCTATTAAAATATATATATATATATATGTATAAATTATATATTAAGTCAATTAAACTAAAAATGCATTCAAATAAATTTAATTTCTTTATCATGTGAGATTTTAAAATTTGCCCAG